CATACAAGTATAGACTAGTTTGCTCAAATTGAAACAATTCAATGTCATGTTTGTTTTTCGACAAGGGTTTGAATTTGCCACTTGACAAAGTGGGCTTACAGTTTGTGAATTTGCCATTACAAAGTGGGCTTAAAACGTGCATTTGTTGAATAAGTCCAATTTCAAGCAACAAGCCTTCATCCACAGGCATTCAAACAATTTATCATTTAAGCAAATAGCCTCGTGGTAGAATGCTAACACATAGTAAGAAAAACACACACAAATGGGATGCTAAAGATTCGGCGTCCCTCGAACAGCTACAAAACAAAGTTAGTAAAAATATGCATGATCTTATATACAAATTCCTAATGTAATTCACTCACGAGATGCAGCTAAAGATTCGGCTTCTAAAACATGACATGTGAAACATTGCAAAACATGTGATAGAGCACATAATCATGTAGGAATTGATTAAATCCACAAATGCAAATTTAGCCGAATCAGGATGCATGGAACATGGATGCAAAACATGGATATGCATGGTATGTTAGATATATACATATGTACAGTTAGGGAAAGCGGTTAAAGAATGGGATAGAAAGAAGCGGGGTGGGGAATTGTAAATCAAAGTATAACACAGCGGATGAAATTTTTTTTATAGTCATACCTTTTAGCAGAGTCTGAAATGAAGGATCTCGTGGATAAATCACGTGCTTCCAGAATGTGAACAACCAACCTAGCAGTGGAGTGATACTACAAAATGAGTATCACCCACACAAGTTACAGTGCAAAATGGCTTGATTGTTGTTTTATGGAAGAGAGTCAGTATATGGGAAAAACATAAAACATACGTTGTTTTTCTGATTACCCATATCCCATATCATATCATATATATAGGATATCTATGTCATCTATCCATATCAGTTGATACGATAGATATAGATATCTTGAGTGGTTATCCAAATAGGTTTTCAATTCAAATTTAAACTTATTTGGATAAGGTTTAAAAGGTTCAAAGAAGGGTCATACCACATGGGCGCCCAATTTCTAACATCTCTCACTCGCACATGAGTTGGCATGACACTGCCACATCTCTATCTCCATCTCCTAAAAAATGAACAATCTCATACTAGCCAATGCACCGTGCGACCGCTGCGAACACCTGTATGTGGAAGCTCTATACTAGAAACTCAATATGAGTCAGCATAGAGACATCAACCCAAAATGAACAGAAATAGTGTGTCATGTACCCAGACCCATCTAGCTACATTGGTCCAAAAACATCTCTAATCCCTCAAAGAGCATGTTTGACTCTTCTAGGTCCCGCATTATATTCACACCCAATCAGCATTCTATAAAGAGCAATGTGAGTTGTCGACAATGAATATAGAGTAGAGATGTAGAACTAGATGATCTTCCTTTTACTCTCATATCATTCAATTTGAAATTGACCGCTTTTCCAGTAATGTCCCTTAAAGCCGAATCATACATGACCGCAGGCAACATACCAAAGTAGCTGAACATCAACTCCTCATCTTATGACATAGTCAAAGGTCATAAAAAGGCACAAAGTAAAGTCATTTAGGGAAAAATGACTTTTAGGACTTACACGGTGAAGAAGCAGGGATCCATTCTTTCACCTCGCTAACGGGTCGATAAGCACATGCAGTACGAATGCATGTTATAGTGGAGTAACTCTTCCAAAGAGTGATGTTAAACTCACACACCATACAGATCTTAGTCTAGTCGCTCTTAAGCGCACAAGTCGCTTCCTAACGTCTAACTCGAATTCTCTATTTGCTCGCCTCTCAGGCATCAAATGAGATCTCGCATCTAGCTATCCATAACAAGCACATCATGGAAAAGTGGGTACTCTCATATCCATGGTCTGTCTCTAACAAGACCTCATCTTGGTTCCAACCAAGGCGACATAGCTAGTGGATAATTTTAGCTTCTCTATTTGCTCAAAATACAATAAGCCACTAGTCTCATCCTTACTCGCTACCTAGCGCTAAGGGCGATTGCTCGTGTGAGTGAGCCAATCTTTCCTGCTAACACCAATTTAATTATTTTGTGTATGCTAATTCACAAACCATTACTAAAAGTAGTAAACATAAATGTGTAATAGAAACAAATATGAATACTAATGGCATAAATATCCCAAAAAATATGAGTTCAACTGAATACACATAAATATATCACCACATGCGTAGTCCTAAAGCCCTAACATGAGTAAGATAAACATCTCTAGCAATGGGCTTAGTCAAAGGGTCCGCAACCATGCGACTCGTATGGATGTGCTCTAGGATCACTTCTTTCTGGGCCACAATGTCTCTGATAAAGTTGAACCTCACATCAGTGTGTTTGGTTCTGTCGTGGTATTTAGGATCCTTAGCGTAAGCGAGTGCAGCCATGATGTCACAATGGATAGTCATAGGGTCTGAAGTGTGTGTGACAACATCCAAATGCTGAAGGAATCTCCTCAACCAAACGGCTTCCTGAACGGCACAAGCCACAAACTCAACCTCCATAGTCGATAAGGTGATACAGGATTGCTTCTTACTGCTCCAAGAAATAGTACCATCGCTAAGTATGAAAGCATATCCTGAGGTAGACTTACGCTCATCTAAGTCTCCTCCCCAGTCAGCGTCACAATAGCCAACTAGATGTAGATCTGAACTTTGGTAGCAAAGTGTGTAATCTGCAGTCCCTCTAAGATATCGTAATATCCTCTTAACTGCTTTCCAATGAGCTGGTCCTGGGTTGGATTGGTAACGACTCACCAATCCGACTGCATAACAAATGTCAGGGCGTGTACGCATCATAGCATATATCAAGCTTCCAACAGCATTTGCATAGGGAACACGGGCCATCTTTTCATTCTCTTCTTAAGTCTTAGGACCCATATCAAGGCTTAGGCTCTCGCCTTTCGCAACAGGAGTGTCAATGGGTTTGCAGCTCTGCATCTGGAATCACTCTAGGATAGTCTTAATGTAAGTCTCTTGAGACAAACCAACAAGTCTCTTAGAGCGATCCCTAAGGATCTTAACACCGAGCACATAGCTCGCCTCACCCATGTCCTTCATCTCAAATGTAGAGAACAACCACCTTTTAGTGGCGACAATCATCTCCTTGTCATTTCCAGCCAATAATATGTCATCTACATATAATGACAATATCAGAAAAATGTCCTTGGACCGCTTAACGTACACACAGTGATCTTCATCAATCATCGTAAACCCATTTGAAACAATGGCTCGATGAAATCTCAGATTCCACTGTCTGGATGATTGCTTTAAGCCATAAATAGATCGTTGAAGCTTGCAAACTTTGCGCTCCTGACCTACTGCCACAAAGCCTTCTGGTTGATCCATATAGATCTCTTCATCCAGTTCTCCATTGAGAAATGCAGTTTTAACGTCCATCTGATATAGCTCTAAGTCCAACTGAGCTACTATGGCCAGGATTAGGCGAATAGAGGCAAACCTTACAACTGGTGAAAAAGTTTCCTCATAGTCCACACCCTCTCGTTGGGTGTAACCTTTCGCCACTAGGCGAGCCTTATACCTTTCTATGGAACCATCTGCCTTGCGCTTGATTTTGAGAACCCATTTGTTCCCAATAGTCTTGCGCCCTAGCGGCAAATCAACCAAGTCCCCGACATGATTTTTCTTCATAGACTCTATTTCTTCATCCATTGCAGTACTCCATTCTTTATTAGCAGGGGATGAGAGAGCCTCTTTGAGATTCTTAGGCTCCATCTCATCACTCGGAGCAATCATGAATGCCTCCCCTTCAATCTCAAAAGGACGACAGGGTATGGCTCCATGTTTGCTTCTACGTAGTTGAGAATCCTGAGAATCCTCATCCATTGGATCTAATCCATCGGCAGGTAGATCGCTCCCACTGTCCCTAGGAGCTTGAGGGATTATCTCTTCATTCTCTATTAGGCTACTAGGTACGCCTTCAAGTAGATCTTCCATCTCATAGAGTTCTTCTTCTCTAGTTACCTCACCTCTGCTAGGGAAATCCTCCTTTAGGAAATTCACATCTCGTGACTCAATTTCAGTCACACTTCCATCCGGATGCTCCCCAATAAACACATAGCCCTTAGAATGCTCACTATAATGAATGAAGATACATTTCTTTCCTCTAGGGCCCAACTTCCCAAACTTATGAGAAGTGTTGTGTATGTAAGCTGTCGAACCCCAAGGCCGCAAATTGCCCAAATCAGGCTTTTTGCCAGTCCACATCTCATATGGGGTGGAAGGAACTGATTTGGAGGGCACACGGTTAAGGACATAGGCAGCAGTCAACAAAGCATCTCCCTAATAAGAAATGGGAAGATTAGCTTGTACCATCATTAATCTAACCATGTCAAGCAATGGGCGATTCCTTCTCTTCGCTACACCATTTTGATGTGGAGTCCTAGGAATTGTCAATTGCCTGATAACTCCTTTTTCCTCACAGAGCACTTTAAATTGCTCAGATAGATACTCACGTCCTCGGTCAGTCCTTAGAGCCTTAATGCTCTTGTCTAATTGATTCTCAACCTCATTAACATACTGTCTAAAGCAATCCAATGCTCCTGACTTGTGAGAAATCAAATAGACATAACCAAAACGCGTGCAATCATCTATAAATGTGATGAAATAAGGGGCTCCATGCCTTGCCCTCACATTCATTGGTCCACATATATCAGAATGAATAAGTTGTAATGGGATAGATGCCCTTATGGCTTTCCCAAATGGTTTCCTTGTTGCCTTACTAGCAAGACAGTGCTCACAAGTAGGCAAAGTGACTCTAGCGAGTGGGCCTAAAAGACCTTCTCTAGCCAATCTAGTCATCCTGCCTTGCCCTATGTAGCCTAATCTAGCATGCCATCTCATAGAATCATTGTCACAAAAAGATGCAATATTCGAAACAGAGCCATTGGCATTTTTATTATAACTAGAATCATCCACATCCAAAACTAAAAAACCATATGAAAAATAATCAAAACCAAAAAAATTGTTCCCAAATAAATGCTAACACCATGATTCTCAAAACAAAAGCTAAAACCATGGCTCATCATGCTAATAACTAAAACTAAGTTTCGCCGAATATCCGGAGCATAAAGAACATCATGAAGATACAAGGTGCGCCCTCGTCGCATTTCCAGCTTGTGTGTGCCAATGCTAAGTACCTCCACGCTGGACTCATTCCCCATGTAAACTTTTCTGCTCCCAGCAGGTACTCGGCGATACTCAACGAACCCTACTCTGTCCCTCGCGATGTGGTCTGTTGCTCTGGAGTCTATAACCCAAAAATGAGGAGAATGAGCAATTAGTGCTTGACTAGACACAAAGCATTGAATGCAAGAAATTAAGTAAGGGAGTACCTTCTTCTGCTCAGGGCAATCCCGAGCGAAGTGTCCTTCTTTGTTACAACTAAAGCATGTCAATTTAGCCTTTACCTTCTTGCCACCTCTCTTGCCCCTATGCTTGAAATTTCTAGCGCCATTGGGCTTTAGCGCAGCTGCTGCTTGCTTCTTAGGGGCACCTTTTGCTTTTCCACATTTGAACTGAGAAGTCTTACGTGAGCTCGACTCAACCACCATAGTAGAACTATCAGACTTAGCCACCTCAAGGCGCTCAGCCTCTAGTTCCAAATGATGCGATATGTCTTCGAATGTTTTTACACTCTCATTATGCATCATGTTCTGCTTCATCTACTCCCAAGAATTTGGCAGAGAGCGAATCACAGCTTGTACTTGCTGCTCTTGAGTCAAATTGTGCCCAGCAGCCGCAAGCTCACGTATCATGGCTGACATGACCCTTAAATGTTGCTTCATCGAGTGATGCGCCCTTTTCTGATAGGAGTCAAACTTCATAGTCAGCCCACGTAGCTTTGCCAAGGAGGTAATACCAAACTTTTGTTTGAGAGCTTCCCATATCTCAAATGCAGTCGGGCAATGCTCAAACTCACTAATCAAGTTGTTGTGCATGTTGTTCAACATAGTAAAGCGCGCACACTGATCTTTGTTACGCCAAGTCTGAAAGACTTCAAGATCACGACGATGTTGAGCTGTATTGCCCTGCTCTGGCTCAACCATCACTTGTTCAAGTGTGGTCAATGCTTCTTGCTCATTGAGGAGGTATTGGATCTTACGGCGCCATATATCATAATTATCGCCATCCAATTTCTCTCCCTTAGTTAAGTCTGTCACCACTGTCTTAGCAGCCATTTCTACATACAGAGTAAACAAATGCGCAAGGGATATTAATGATACCAACACAAAAAATTATTTTGCAACAAAAGAATCTAAATTAAATAATGATAATTTTACACATGTCTCAAGATCGAAAATTTGCTATGCTCGTAATCATCTCTTGCGCCTCTAGTGATAATTATCAAAATTTAATTTAATTCCATGTGCACAATCAATCTCCCACTACTTATGGCATATATAAAATATGATAAATTTCATACAATAGCATCTTAATGTAAATTTACAAATAACTCATGCTACATTCATTTAATAACGGAATTCAAATAAATAAATAAAAACTAATCATGCTTCTTTAATTGCAACATATTACAAATCCTAAAAAAATATGCTGTATACAATATTCAGATTATGCCATAATAAAAAGTACATCATTCTGAAATTTTCTGGAATTCTAAATAACTAATAAACACACATAAAATTAGAAATAAAAAATTCCAGAATCTGATAAACTGAAACAATTATACCAGTAAATAGTAAAACTTTTCAATAGTCTACAATAAAAATTTCAATCCCAGAAAATTATTCATGCAATACCAGAAGCATTTTAAAGCATAAATAATGAATTATTATCACAGAAAAAATACTTTTTAGTTTCATAAAATTTTCAAAATTTTACAAAACATGAAAATTTTAATTCTGAGTCTAACAGTACCAACCACACATAAAACAAATCTATAACGAATTATTTATGACCATTTAACGCGATTCAGAATTAAAAACAAAACAAACAGTGCCTTCACATTAGCAGCCAAGCCAGCGGAGGAAAACGGCGCGGCTCAGCTCGCGGCTTAGCGCGGTCTCAGAACGCGGCTTAGCGTACGGCTCAGGGCACGGCGCGCGTGCGTAGCCCGGACGGCGTCGCTAAAGCGAGCGTAATGGCGCGTGGAGGCGCGTCGGAAGCGCGTCTGGTGCGTAGAAGAGCGTGGCAGCGCATGGAAGCCGCTCACAGCGTCAGGTGGTGCATGCGGACCACGTGCCGCCTTCCAGGGTGTTTTTTGGTCCAATTTTGGTATTGCCGGACTCCATTTTCCAAAAAAAAATATGTTTATGGTATTAAAAATGAGATTTAATGAACATAAAAATGAGGTATTTTATGCTCTTAATCTAATGAGAGTGGACATCTTCCTTCTTTATTAATATTCATGTATATAATGTGTACATATTTATAAAAAATTATACACATGATTAAAGAAAACACAAAAATACCCATATATGCTCTGATACCTATGTAAATCAAAGTATAACGCAACGGATGAAAAAAATTTCATAGTCATACCTTTTAGCAGAGTCTGAAGTGAAGGATCTCGTGGGTAAATCACGTGCTTCCAGAATGTGAACAACCAACCCAGCAGTAAAGTGATACTATAAAATGAGTATCACCCACACAAGTCACAGTATAAATGGCTTGATCGTTGTTTTATGGGAGAGAGTCAGTATATAGGAAAAACAAAAAACGTACGTTATTTTTCTGATTACCTATATCCCATATCATATTAGATATATAGGATATCTATGTCATCTATCCATATCAGTTGATATGATAGATATAGATATCCTGAGTGGTTATCCAAATAGGTTTTTAATTCAAATTTAAACTTTTTTGAATAAGATTCAAAAGGTTTAAAGAAGGGTCATGCCACATGGGCACTCAATTTCTAACATGAATTATTACAACACTTTAAATATTATAGATCCGAGGGAGATGAACGAAATAAAATCCTCACAAACACTCAAAATAAAAATAAAATAAAGAACTTCAACTCAGTAACCCTCTGGCACCATCCACTCCTTTTCTCCACTGAAACCGGGCCTAGAACCCAAAGCCCAAAATTAGGAAGCCCAACGTTTCAAACACCTGGCCATTCGTTTGACTTCAATCCAGCAGGTTCTGTATGCACTAGCGCAATTGTTGCCTCTTGGTCACTCAGACAACTGCTGCAAACCTCCCTGTATTACTTTGATCCATTGAAGCCAAAGATCTCGTTATTGACTTGATTTGCTTGTTCCTGGCAAAGCAACCATCAAGCAGAATGACACCGATTTCAGTAGCAATCGAGAGCGATGAGGGAAACCCAAGAACTGATGTTGAGGCGCTGATGTTGATGATTGGGATTTGGTTTCAAACCCAACCACCTGAGTGGGTAGCCAAAATGAATCTTTTCCGTCGTTCCAGTTTGAATGATCCAAAGAATTTCAAGAAAAGATTTAACCTTTAAGTCCTCAAAGAATTCTTTGTGCAACAAGTTCAATTACAGGTGGTGGAGCACCAAAGGAAAGGAATTGCTCAGTTTATATATACATTGGTGAATCCTCGAAGCTGTAGTTCGTATTCTCTATTCACCGAAGAATAGCAACACAAAACACCAAGACTGTATGTAGTTCCTCGGATAATGCTCCAATGGTGGATCGACGGAGGTGCGACGGTGCTACGCTGGGGTGATGGTGCGAAAGAGATCGTGGAAGGAGAGGCGAGAGAGAGAGAGAGGGAGAGAGTTTTTGGGTGGCTAGAGAGAGAGCTCATCCGAGAGAGACCAGAGGCCCAGCGAGAGAGAAGAGGCCATGTGCATATCTGTCGCTGTGCTGTCTGTGTGTGAGTGTTGTCTTCCCTCTCAAAACCAGTGTGTATGCGCGTGTGTGCTAATGTGTGTGTCAATGTTGTTAATATAATTGTTAAATTGTTAATTGAATCTTTAGCTTTAGTGTAATTATTAATTGTATAGGTTTATGCTTTCCTTTTTGCTTTCGGTGATCAATGTGTTGGGTGTGTGTGGATGCATCTGTGTGTGTATGGATCTGCTGTGCTGTGTTGAGTGCTTCTCTCTCAAAACCCAAACATGCTACCTTGTTTGTTTTCATGCACCACAGAGAAGAGAGAGCCCAGGTACCGAGAGAGAGAGAGGGAGAGAGATCGAGAGCTTGTGTGTGTGTTGTCCGTTGTGTTCTGTGATATCCCTCTGATATGTGTGTGATATGTGATATATGTGTGAGGTGTGTTAATGTGCTGTATCAGCTGTGTTCTGTGCATGTGTGTGATGGGTCTATGATAGCCGTGTGTGTGTTGTGTGTTTTGTGGTGTGTAGCGTGTATCCATCTTCCTCTCCCTCATCCGAGTGTGCTGCCGTGTGTCTATATCAGTGTGTGATGCATGTGATATCTGTGTCTGCAGATCTCATCTTCCAACTATTTCTGCATGCCGGATTTTCATCCATCAAAACCAACACCACCTCGCTGCCGTCATCCACTTCTCCACCACCACCTTCAGCTTCATCTCCGCCGCTGACATCTCTCTCTCTCTCTCCTCCAATCTCTTCAAACACCCAGTCATGTGTTTCACAGAGATTGCTTGGATAGATGGGTGGATGAAGGTAGGGTCACTTGCCCTTTGTGCAGATCTATGCTTCTTCCTCCTAACACCAATCCATGGATGGTACTCAGTCTTGCCTTTGATCTTGAACATGATACTCTGGGTTGGTGAAGTTGGTGGACACATGCAACACAACTTCTTCTTCCATACACACAGCGCACGGGCTGGTTACACCAGCAGCTGAATCACGGAGAACCCATAACTGAAGGAGCAAGAAAGCACCGCCACCAACACTTGCCATGCTAGACGGTGGCTCCGCCGACCCCCCGAGAACTCAGATCTTCTATGTGTTTATGTTGGGACAGGTGTTCAATTTTTCGGGATGATACTCGTCACTATGATGTTTGCTGTCCTCGGGTTTCTATCTCCTTCAAATAGAGGTGGGTTGATGACGGCCATGCTTCTTCTGTGGGTCTTCATGGGCCTTTTTGCTGGATACGCTTCTGCCCGCCTCTACAAGAGCGGATTCTATGGTGGCTGGGATGGGTTTGCACACATCCCCAGTGATGATACGCCAAAGTTTCTTTCCTTTGAGGAACCCAGACATAGCTTGTGCCCATAAGACATAGTTAGTTCCGTCAAGAACAACGGAACTAGGGTGGTTGGAGGAGTCCAAGCGATCCATGAGAAAAAAGCAGTACTATCGAAGCCGAATCTGAAAAATCTGAGGTTACCAGTGAATGCAGAGGGTCGAAATCAGTGGGAAATGAGTGAACGGACCAAAAAAAAGATGACCAGAAGGCACTAAATTGGCTGGTCAAAGTTGGTCAACAATTCTGGTCAAAGATGACGTCACAATCTGGTCAAACATGACATCACTACTGTGTCACAGGCGCGGCGCAAGTTAGCACAGACAGGCGCGGCGCACGATAGCAGAGGAAGCAAGCGGCGCACGGAAGCAGCCAGGGCTGACGTCAGCTGACGTCAAAAACACGCGGCTTACGTTAGCAGATGAGGCCGCGGCGCACGATAGCACAGGGCAAGTGTGAGGCGCGTAGAGCGCGTCTGAGAGGCGAGGAGGCGCGTGGATGAAAGTTCTGGCGGCGCGTGGCGGCGCGTGGAACGTCGGATGATGATGAATCTGGTGGCGTTGGATTCGTCGTGAGGAGACGAAGGTTCTGGTGTGGTCCAATCTGTAATTTAGATAAGGACGAGATATGCAACAATCTGCTCAAAATAAAAATGCGATGCAGAAGAGACTAGGCAATACACCTGTGCTTTGATACCATGAAACAAATAAGAGAGTGATATTGAGAGAGTAAGAAAACTCTTATATTGAATGTATCTGAAAGTGTAAGAATGGACTCCATTTATAGGAGTTGTTTGATACAATATCATTATGAAAGCAGAACATAAAATAAGATAAAGTAGCCGAAAGCAGCCGAAAGCAAAGGCACTGCTCTAGCATCCTATAGCTATATATGATATATTAATATATGCATTAGTATGATACAGCTATATGTTAATATAATATATACATGTTAATATAATATTAGGATACATTAATATAATACATATTAATATAATACATTAACACTCAGTTTATATATACATTGGTGAATCCTCGAAGCTGTAGTTCGTATTCTCTATTCACCGAAGAATAGCAACACAAAACACCAAGACTGTATGTAGTTCCTCGGATAATGCTCCAATGGTGGATCGACGGAGGTGCGACGGTGCTACCCTGGGGTGACGGTGCGAAAGAGATCGTGGAAGGAGAGGCGAGAGAGCGAGAGAGGGAGAGAGTTTTTGGGTGGCTAGAGAGAGAGCTCATCCGAGAGAGACCAGAGGCCCAGCGAGAGAGAAGAGGCCATGTGCATACCGGTGCGACAAGTTTGTGACCGCCGTCATGGACTCCACACATGCCTTCAAAGTATACTGATTGGCCTCCACATCCGTCTGCACCGCCATTTTTTGCTCCACAGATCGCATCGGAATGCATCTGTGTGTGTATGGATCTGCTGTGCTGTGTTG